CGGATAATTAAAAAATTCATTGAAAATTTGATTGAAAATCAAATGAAATCTGAAGGACCAAACAACACATTGATTTTTGTTTGAGAGGCCTCAGGGACTTCAGTTACCTGCCATGGGGCTCCAAACTTGGTTGATTTTACACTATTTTCAATGGAGCTTGAATTAGTTCAGTGCACCCGCAAGGGTTTTCCGAGGGGAAAAAACATGTCGTGTCTGTGTTTTGAGGGGATTTCCCGCACCGCTGACGCGCGACCCGTCACCTTCCGGCCCAAGTGCACATCGGCCAGCTATGGAACTCCTTATCTGCTCTTTGTTGTGTCCCAATTTCTGCCGTTTTTCAGTTCCATATAGGCCATTTTTCGTCGCCTGTTCCGCGTCGTCGGTCGTGTTTCGCCCGTCGTGCGATGCCGGTCGTTCGTCGCGAGAACGCAACCAAGTGTTTTTTAGGGAAGAAATATTTTCCGCAAAAATGTTTAAGCAAACGTATCCGCAGTGCAATGCACTCTTGCCTACTGTAAAAATGTGCTGACTTGTTTTCATGAACTTCTAGAAAGAAATCTGCCAGCCTATACAGACATTCCTTTTTTCCCTCTCAATTTCACCTTGAAATTCGTGTTAGCTAGTTTTTGTGGGTGTGTATGCTATTGTAGATAGGCCATTGAGCACAGGTTGTCCAGCATATCAGCAATATTTATGGGGCTAACAAAGTGACATTACTGTTTAAAAGACTTCTGTGTGCCTACGTGCGACTGAAGTCATGTCTAATTTGGAGTATACAGCAGATTTCATCGTTGGTATACCCACCCTCAAAATAATGTTGAATCAGTTCGTCTCTTATAAAAGCTATTAAGGAAGCAAACATTGTAAGTAATTTATTATATACATTCAGTTCAAAGTTACTCTTGTATTTCCAGGGGTGTGACCTGTTGGAATGTCGTGGAAGGACAGACAGGCATGGTGGATCGATTGAACAAGTATGTGAAACGATCAAGGGTCAAAGTGAAAAATCAAGCGTGACCCCCCCCCGCAGACATGGAATTCCGTAGCCCGCGCACGGACCCTATCGAGAAAATATTTCCACGACACAACAGTGACCTCACGAATCTTTGCCTGAGGTCATTATGCACGCACTGGTATGACTACACATTCAGTACTGAAACTTCACTGTGTAAAGGCACACATGTATGTTCAGCAACTTTTATGACAAACCAAGCATGACGAAGAATCATACATCCGTCATACACTGGCATTGTTGAATACTCAATTTTACTGACCAAATTCCTTCCAGTGTATGTTATCATTATTATAACAAAAACCCACATAGCAACAAGACGGTTTATTCACCATACGTCATCCCGGAATGCCTTCCTTTTGTTTTCAATTCAATGGGCTACTTGGCATTCTGAAACTTGGATCTAGCCCAACCCTTATAATAATTCATTGACCACTACTAGATAACTGTGAAAACAAGCGCAGATTCAATGGACACTAGGCAACCTTTTATTCCAACCAATGTCTCTTTATTCAGACGACACACAGCGAGGACGAATTTATCGTCATGAATTTTCAGCTCTAGAGTGTCCTTCAAACATGGAGACAGCGCTCCTTGCCTTAATGTTGCGAATGCCAGTTTTAGGTTGACCCTTGCTGTCGCACGTACTGCAAACATATCTTGCCTGAAGTAAAACATGTAAAGTAAAAAAAAGGTTCTCCAAACAGAGTTCCTGAAAAACCTCGACTACACCAGGGAGTACCAAGGGAGAGAATCCGACAATTTCTGGGGCCTAACAGCGCCGACCCCCCCTGTCATTCAAGATTAAGTTACCACTCAGGGAATGCAACACAGGAGGCGGTAGATTGTTTTTCTCGATAACTTGGTTACTCTAGACGTAACTTTACTCGTTAACAGCCAGACTTTAGGTCTATAGCCTATGTGATATTTCTGTCTGTCTCTGCACGATATCCCAC